GGAGGGGGAGGGGGCGCGGGGTGGGGCCTTCGGCCTCCTCCTCCTCTTCCTCCGCCTCGGAGCGCTGCGGGCGGTGCTGCCGTGCCTTCCTCACCCTCCTCTTCCTCATCTTTCTGTGCCTTCCTCGCCCTCCTCTTCCTCACCCTCCTCTTCCTCGTCCTCCTGTTCCTCATCTTTCTGTGCCTTCCTCGCTCTCCTCTTCCTCAGACTCCTCTTCCTCATCTTCCTCTTTCTCATCCCCCTGTGCCTTTCTCTTCCTCATCCTCCTCGCCCTCCTCTTCCTCACCCTCCTCTTCCTCGTCCTCCTCTTCCTCATCTTTCTGTGCCTTCCTCGCCCTCCTCTTCCTCAGCCTCCTGTGCCTTTCTCTTCCTCATCCTCCTCTGCCTCACCCTTGTGTGCCTTCCTCGCCCTCCTCATCCTCATCTTTCTGTGCCTTCCTCGCCCTCCTCTTCCTCTCATCTTCCTCTTCCTCATCTTCCTCTTCCTCATCTTCCTCTTCCTCATCTTCCTCTTCCTCATCTTCCTCTTCCTCATCTTCCTCTTCCTTGCCCTCCTGTGCCTTCCTCAGCCTCCTCTTCCTCAGCCTCCTGTGCCTTCCTCACCCTCCTCTTCCTCATCTTCCTGTGCCTTTCTCTTCCTCATCTTCCTCGTCCTCCTCATCCTCCTCTTCCTCACTCTCCTGTGCCTTTCTCTTCCTCCTCTTCCTCAGCCTCCTCTTCCTCAGCCTCCTCTTCCTCATCTTTCTGTGCCTTCCTCGCCCTCCTCTTCCTCACCCTCCTCTTCCTCATTCTCCTGTGCCTTTCTCTTCCTCTTCCTCCTCTTCCTCATCTTTCTGTGCCTTCCTCATCCTCCTCTTCCTCAGCCTCCTGTGCCTTCCTCGCCCTCCTCATCCTGCTCTTCCTCATCCTCGTCTTCCTCACACCCCTGTGCCTTTCTCTTCCTCTTCCTCAGCCTCCTGTGCTTTCCTTGCCCTCCTCTTCCTCATTCTCCTCTTCCTCATCCTCCTGTGCCTTTCTCTTCTTCACCCTCCTCTTCCTCATCTTTCTCCTCACTCTTCTGTGCCTTCCTCGCCCTCCTCTTCCTCACCCTCCTCTTCCTCATTCTCCTGTGCCTTTCTCTTCCTCTTCCTCCTCTTCCTCATCTTTCTGTGCCTTCCTCATCCTCCTCTTCCTCAGCCTCCTGTGCCTTCCTCGCCCTCCTCATCCTGCTCTTCCTCATCCTCGTCTTCCTCACACCCCTGTGCCTTTCTCTTCCTCTTCCTCAGCCTCCTGTGCTTTCCTTGCCCTCCTCTTCCTCATTCTCCTCTTCCTCATCCTCCTGTGCCTTTCTCTTCATTCTCCTGTGCCTTCCTCGCCCTCCTCTTCCTCGCCCTCCTGTGCCTTTCTCTTCCTCAGCCTCTTCTTCCTCGGCCTCCTCTTCCTCATTTTCCTGTGCCTTCCTCACCTTCTTCCTCATCTTCCTCCTCTGTGCCTTCCTCATCCTCCTCTTCCTCACCCTCCTGTGCCTTCCTCATCTTCCTCACCCTCATCTTCCTCTGTGCATTCCTCACCTTCCTCTTCCTCACCTTCCTGTGCCTTCCTCGCCTTTGTCTTCCTCATCCTGCTCGGCCTCTTCCTCCTCACCCTCTTCATCCTCATTCTGTGCCTCTTCCTCCTCTGTGCCTTCCTCACCTTCCTCTCCCTCATCCTCCTCCGTGCCTTCCTCATCTGCCTCTGCCTCTTCCTCATCCTCTGCCTCCTCACCCTCCTCTTCCTCACCCTGCTCTGCCTCTTCCTGCTCTGCGCCTTCCTCCCTGTGCCTTCCTCATCTTCTTCTTCCTCATCCTCTGCCTCTTCCTCCTCATCTTCCTCTTCCTCACTCTCTGCCTCATCTTCCTCACCCTGCACTCTCATCTTCCTCTTCCTCCTCTGCCTTCTGCTCTTCCTCCTCTTCTTCCTCCTCATGCTCCTCTTCCTCCTTTGATTTTCTTCCTCTTCCTCCTCCCGCTCTTCATCTTCCTCCCCTCCTCTTCCTCCTCCCACTCTTCATCTTCCTCCCCTCCTCTTCCTCCTGCCTCTGGCTCTGTGTGTGCGGCCTTCCTCCCCCTCCCCCCCTCCTCCTCCTCAGGGCTTTGGGAGGGAGCTGGGCCGGGGGTCTGTGGCCTTCCTCCCCCTCCTCCTCCTCCCTGGGGAGCTGCTGCTCTTGGGGCTCGTGCTGGAGCTGTCCTGCTCTTCCTCCCCCTCCTCCTCCTCCCTGGGGAGCTGCTGCTCTTGGGGCTCGTGCTGGAGCTGCCCTGCTCTTCCTCCCGCTCCTCTTCCTCCTTCCTTCCTCTTCTTCATCCCCCTCTTCCTTATCCTCTTCCTCCTTTCCTTTGCTTCCTCTTCCTGCTCTTCCTCCTCCTGCTCATCTTCCTCTTCTTCATTTCCTTCTCGTCATCCTCGTCTTCCTCGCCTTCACCTTCCTCCTCCTCCTCCTCCTCCTCAGGGGTTCGGTTCTGGAGCTGCCCCGGCCTGTCCTCCCCTTCCTCTTCTTCCTCTTCCTCATCTTCCTCCTTGTGCTCTTTTTCCTCTTCTGGTACTTCCTCCTCTTCCTCTTCCTGTTCTTCCTCCTTTTCCTCCTCTTCCTCTTTTTCCTCTTCTAGCTCTTCATCTTTTCTTGGTTTTCTTCTTCCTCTTCTTCTCTTCCTCTTCCTCTTCTTCATCTTTCCTCCTCTTCCTCCTCTTCATCTTCTCCTGCTCTTCCTCCTCTTCCTTCTTTCCATCTTCTCCTCCTCTTCCTCTTCTTTTTCCTCCTCCTCTTCTTCCTCTTCTTCTTTTCCTTCTTCCTCCTCTTCCTCCTCCGCCCCTCCCCCACCCCTCCCGCTCAGGTTCAGGATTTGGGATTTCCCCTCCCCCCTCCCAGGGCCCCAAAATCCCCAAATCCCAAAAAACCCCCAAAATTCTGAATTCCCAAATTCCCTAAAATCCTGAAAACCCAAAATCCCCAAATCCTGAAAACCCCAAAATCCCAAAAATTTGCCCTAAAATCCCGAATTCCCCCAAACCCCCAAATCCTGGAAATTGGCTCCAAAATCCTGGGAATTCTCCCCAAACCCCAAATCCTGGGAATTCTGCTCAAATCCCAGGAATTCCCCCCAAATTCCCAAAATCTCAAATTCCTAAAATCCCCAAATCGCAGCAATTCTCCCCAAAATCCCGAAATCCCGGGATTCCCCCCCAAATCCCCCAAAATCCCCAAATCCCTGGAATTGGCCCCAAAATCCCCGGGAATTTCCCCTCCCCAGTCGGTTCCGTGTGCAATAAACGGCGCTCCCTGCTCCTTCCCGGGGCCTTTTCCGGGCTTTCTTTGGGAATTCCGGGGCTTTTTTTGGGAATTCTGGAGGGTTTGTTGGGAATTCCGGGGTTTTTTTGGGGATTCCAGGGGTTTTTTTGGGAATTCTGGAGGTTTTTTGGGGGATTCCGGGGGTTTTTTTGGGAGTTGCGGGGAAACTGAGGCACGGCGAGAGGCGGAAGGGGGAGGGGCGTTCCGGGGGGTTCCGGCCCGGATTGGACGGGAATGGGGCTGGAGCTGAGGCCCGGAGTAACCTCGGAGTAACCCTGGAGTAACCTCGGAGTATTCCTGGAGTATTCCTGGCTTGGCCCCAGAGTATCCCTGGTGTAACCTCGGAGTATTTCTGGAGTAACTGCAGAGTAACTCCGGAGTATCCCTGGCATGACCCCAGTGTACTCCTAGAGTAAGCCTGGTGTATCCCCGGAGTACGGCGTGGAATCTGTGCCCTGTGTAACCCCTGAGTAGGAGCCTGGCGCTGCAATTGCAACCCGGAGTATCCCCGGAGTATCCCTAGAGTATGGGGCTGAATGCTGTGAATGAGGCTCAGAGTATCCCTGGAGTATCCCTGGTGTATCCCTGTATCAGCCCCAGGGTATTCCTGGTGTAACCTCAGAGTATCCCTGGAGTATCCCCAGAGTAACCCTGGAGTAACCTCTGAGTACTCCTGGATTAGCCCCAGAGAAACCCTGGAGTATTATCCCCCGAGTATTCCTGGTGCAACCTCAGAGTATTCCTGCAGTGACCTCGGCATAACCCCAGAGTATCCCTGGAGTAACCCCAGAGTATCCCCAGCATATTCCTGGAGTATCCCCGGAGTATTTCTGGAATATCCCCTGAGTATGGGGCTGGAATTCCAGCCCAGAGGATCCCTGGAGTGTCCCTGGAGTATTCTCGGGGTATCCCTGGAGTATGGGGCTGGATGCTGGGAATCAGGCTCAGAGTATCCCCAGAGGATTCCTGGAGTATCCCTGGAGTATTCTTGGAGTATCCCTGGAGTAGGGGGCTGGATGCTGGGAATCAGGCTCGGAGTATCCCCGGAGTATCCATGGAGTATCCCCAGAGTATTCCTGGAGTAGGGGGCTGGATGCTGGGAATCAGGCTCGGAGTATCCCTGGAGTATCCCCGGAGTATCCATGGAGTATGGGGCTGGATGCTGGGAATCAGGCTCGGAGTATCCCTGGAGTATTCTCAGAGTATCCCTGGAGTATGGGAGAGTATTTCTGGAGTATCCATGGAAGTATCCCCGGAGTATCCCTGGAGTATGGGGCTGGATGCTGGGAATCAGGCTTAGAGTATCCCCAGAGTATCCATGGAGTATCCCTCAGAGTATTCCTGGAGTATGGGGCTGGATGCTGGGAATCAGGCTTAGAGTATCCCCAGAGTATCCATGGAGTATCCCTCAGAGTATTCCTGGAGTATGGGGCTGGATGCTGGGAATCAGGCTCGGAGTATCCCCGGAGTATCCCCGGAGTACGGGGTGGGATTTGTGCCCTGTGTAACCCCTGAGTCGGAGCCTGGGGCTGGAATTCCAGCCTGGAGTATCCCCTGAGTTTGGGGTCCAGGTTCTGGAGTATCCCCTGACTGATAGGTCAGAGGTCAATCCCTGAGTATTCCTGGAGTATCCCCTGAGTTTGGGGTCCAGGTTCTGGAGTATCCCCTGACTGATAGGTCAAAGGTCAAACCCTGAGTATCCCTGGAGTATCCCCTGAGTATCCCTGGAGTATCCCCTGAGTATCCCTGGAGTATCCCCTGAGTTTGGGGTCCAGGTTCTGGAGTATCCCCTGACTGATAGGTCAAAGGTCAAACCCTGAGTATCCCTGGAGTATCCCCTGAGTATCCCTGGAGTATCCCCTGAGTATCCCTGGAGTATCCCCTGAGTTTGGGGTCCAGGTTCTGGAGATTTCTGGAGTATCCATGGAAGTATCCCCGGAGTATCCCTGGAGTATGGGGCTGGATGCTGGGAATCAGGCTCGGAGTATCCCCGGAGTATCCATGGAGTATCCCCAGAGTATTCCTGGAGTAGGGGGCTGGATGCTGGGAATCAGGCTCGGAGTATCCCCGGAGTATCCCCGGAGTACGGGGTGGGATTTGTGCCCTGTGTAACCCCTGAGTCGGAGCCTGGGGGTGGAATTCCAGCCTGGAGTATCCCCGGAGTATCCCCAGAGTATCCCCTGAGTTTGAGGTCCAGGTTCTGGAGTATCCCCTGAGTGGGAGGTCAAAGGTCAAACCCTGAGTATCCCTGGAGTATCCCCGGAGTATCCCCTGAGTATTCCCTCAGAGGTCAAAGGTCAAACCCTGAGTATTCCTGGAGTATCCCCTGAGTATTCCCTGAGAGGTCAAAGGTCAAACCTAGAGTATCCCTGGAGTATCCCCTGAGTATCCCCTGAGTATTCCCCGAGAGATCAAAGGTCAAATCCTGAGTATCCCTGGAGTATCCCCGGAGTATCCCTGGAGTATCCCCTGAGTATCCCCTGAGTAGGAACTGGGACTTGGAATTCCAGCCTGGAGTAACCCTGGAGTATCCCCAGAGTAAATCCCAATCCCAGTCCTGTTCCAGGGCTCAAACTGGGAATGGGGAATCCCAAACTGGGAATTCCAAACTGGGAATTCCAAACTGGGAATGGGGAATTCCAAACTGGGAATGGGGAATCCCAAACTGGGAATCCCAAACTGGGAATGGGGAATCCCAAACTGGGAATGGGGAATCCCAAACTGGGAATTCCAAACTGGGATTGGGGAATCCCAAACTGGGAATCCCAAACTGGGAGTGGGGAATTCCAAACTGGGAATGGGGAATCCCAGACTGGGATTGGGGGAGCCCCAAACTGGGAATGGGGAATCCCAAACTGGGACTGGACGGATCCAAACTGGGAATGGGAAATCCCAAACTGGGAATGGGGAATTCCAAACTGGGAATGGGAAATCCCAAACTGGGAATGGGGAATTCCAAACTGGGAATGGGAAATCCCAAACTGGGAATGGGGAATTCCAAACTGGGAATGGGAAATCCCAAACTGGGAATGGGGAATTCCAAACTGGGAATGGGAAATCCCAAACTGGGAATGGGGAATTCCAAACTGGGAATGGGAAATCCCAAACTGGGAATGGGGAATTCCAAACTGGGAATGGGAAATCCCAAACTGGGAATGGGGAATTCCAAACTGGGAATGGGAAATCCCAAACTGGGAATGGGGAATTCCAAACTGGGAATGGGAAATCCCAAACTGGGAATGGGGAATTCCAAACTGGGAATGGGAAATCCCAAACTGGGAATGGGGAATTCCAAACTGGGAATGGGAAATCCCAAACTGGGAATGGGGAATTCCAAACTGGGAATGGGAAATCCCAAACTGGGAATGGGGAATTCCAAACTGGGAATGGGAAATCCCAAACTGGGAATGGGGAATTCCAAACTGGGAATGGGAAATCCCAAACTGGGAATGGGGAATTCCAAACTGGGAATGGGAAATCCCAAACTGGGAATGGGGAATTCCAAACTGGGAATGGGAAATCCCAAACTGGGAATGGGGAATTCCAAACTGGGAATGGGAAATCCCAAACTGGGAATGGGGAATTCCAAACTGGGAATGGGAAATCCCAAACTGGGAATGGGGAATTCCAAACTGGGAATGGGAAATCCCAAACTGGGAATGGGGAATTCCAAACTGGGAATGGGAAATCCCAAACTGGGAATGGGGAATTCCAAACTGGGAATGGGAAATCCCAAACTGGGAATGGGGAATTCCAAACTGGGAATGGGAAATCCCAAACTGGGAATGGGGAATTCCAAACTGGGAATGGGAAATCCCAAACTGGGAATGGGGAATTCCAAACTGGGAATGGGAAATCCCAAACTGGGAATGGGGAATTCCAAACTGGGAATGGGAAATCCCAAACTGGGAATGGGGAATTCCAAACTGGGAATGGGAAATCCCAAACTGGGAATGGGGAATCCCAAACTGGGATTGGGTGGATCCAAACTGGGGGTGGATGGATCCAGACTGGGAATGGGGAATTCCAAACTGGGAATGGGGAATCCCAAACTGGGAATTCCAAACTGGGAATGGGGAATCCCAAACTGGGAATGGGGAATCCCAAACTGGGAATTCCAAACTGGGAATGGACGTGGGGAATTCCAAACTGGGAATTCCAAACTGGGAGTGGGGAATCCCAAACTGGGAATGGACGGATCCAAACTGGGAATGGGGAATCCCAAACTGGGAATCCCAAACTGGGAATGGGGAATCCCAAACTGGGGGTGGTTGGATCCAAACTGGGAATCCCAAACTGGGAACCGGGAATCCCAACCTGGGAATTTTTCCCAGAAATTCCCCCCAAAACCACAACAGAAATGAGAATTTTGGGATTTTTTCCCCCCAAAACCACAACAAAAATGAGAATTTTGGGATTTCTCCCGGGATTTTCCCTGGAAAAAAATCGTGAACAGGGCCCCAAATCGGGGATTTTTTCCGGAATTTTCCATGGAATGTGACGCTGGCTCTCGTTGCAGTTGACATGGATGATGAAGACGGCCGGTGCCTGTTAGATGTCATCTGGTGAGTCCGGAATCTTCTGGAATTTTCCCGGGAAATTACCCCCAAAAAAGTGGGAAATGACCCAAAAGAATAGGAGGGAAATGGCCCAAAAAAAGGCGGGAAATGGCCAAAAAAAAGGCAGGAAATGGTCCAAATAAAGGGCGGGAATGGCCTCAAAAAAAGGCGGGAAATGACCCAAAAAATGGATGGGAAATGGTCTCAAAAAGACCCAGGAAATGGCCCCAAAAAAGGCGGGAAATGGCCAAAAAAAAGGCAGGAAATGGTCCAAATAAAGGGCGGGAATGGCCTCAAAAAAAGGCGGGAAATGACCCAAAAAATGGATGGGAAATGGTCTCAAAAAGACCCAGGAAATGGCCCCAAAAAAGGCGGGAAATGGCCAAAAAAAAGGCAGGAAATGGTCCAAATAAAGGGCGGGAATGGCCTCAAAAAAAGGCGGGAAATGACCCAAAAAATGGATGGGAAATGGTCTCAAAAAGACCCAGGAAATGGCCCCAAAAAAGGCGGGAAATGGCCAAAAAAAAGGCAGGAAATGGTCCAAATAAAGGGCGGGAATGGCCTCAAAAAAAGGCGGGAAATGACCCAAAAAATGGATGGGAAATGGTCTCAAAAAGACCCAGGAGGTGCCTGTTAGATGTCATCTGGTGAGTCCGGAATCTTCTGGAATTTTCCTGGAATTTTCCCGGGAAATTACCCCAAAACGGGCGGGAATGGCCCCAAAAAAAGGCAGGAAATGGTCCAAAAAAAGGGCGGGAATGGCCTCAAAAAAAGGTGGGAAATGACCCAAAAAATGGGTGGGAAATGGTCTCAAAAAGACCCAGGAAATGGCCCCAAAAAAGGCGGGAAATGGCCTCAAAAAATGGCGGGAAATGGCCTCAAAAAAAAGGCGGGAAATGGCCCCAAAAAAGGCGGGAAATGGCCTCAAAAAAGGCGGGAAATGGCCTCAAAATGGGTGGGAAATGGTCTCAAAAAGACCCAGGAAATGGCCCCAAAAAAGGCAGGAAATGGCCTCAAAAAGGCGGGAAATGGCCTCAAAAAAGGCAGGAAATGGCCTCAAAAAGGCGGGAAATGGCCTCAAAAAAGGCGGGAAATGGCCCCAAAAAAAGGCGGGAAATGACCCAAAAAGAGGCGGGAAATAACCCAAAAAAAAGGCGGGAAATGGCCCCAAAAAAGGCGGGAAATGGCCTCAAAAAAGGCAGGAAATGGCCTCAAAAAAGGCAGGAAATGGCCCCAAAGAAGGCGGGAAATGGCCCCAAAAAAAGGAGGGAAATGACCCAAAAAAAGGGGATGGAAATGACCAAAAAAAAGGCGGGAAATGGCCCCAAAAAAGGCGGGAAATGGCCCCAAAAAAGGCGGGAAATGGCCAAAAAAAAGGCGGGAAATGACCCAAAAAAAGGCAGGAAGTGGCCCAAAAAAAGGTGGGAAATGACCGAAAAAAGGTGGGAAGTGGCCCAAAAAAAGGAGGGAAATGAACCAAAAAAAGGTGGGAAATGACCCAAAAAAAGGGCGGGAAATGACCCAAAAAGAGGTGGGAAATAACCAAAAAAAAAGGGCGGGAAATGACCCAAAAAGAAGTGGGAAATAACCAACAAAAAAAAGCAGGAAATGGCAAAAAAAAGGCAGGAATTGTCCCAAAAAGTCTTGAAAAAATCCTGGGAAGGGCTGGGAATTCTCTGGAAAGGTGGAAAAATTCCCAAAAAGGGTTTGGAACGTCCCCAAAACCGTGGAAAACTCCCCCAGGGTGGCTCCGACCCCCCCGAAATCCGGAATTTTGGGACGGCGAGCGCGGGGAAATCCCAAATTCTCCCGGAATTCCCTCCCTGAGCCTCCCCTCCCCCCTCTCTCCCCAGCGATCCGCAGGCCCTGAACGATTTCCTCCATGGATCCGAGAAGGTGAGCGCCCCCAAAACCCCAAAATCCCATTTTTCCTAAAAAAATCCCATATTTCCATCCAAAAACCCCATTTTTCCATTAAAAACCCCCATTTTTCCATTAAAAAACCCCATTTTTCCTAAAAAAACCCCCATTTTTCCTAAAAAAACCCCATTTTTCCATTAAAAAAACCCATTTTTCCTTAAAAAAAAACCATTTTTCCATTAAAAAACCCCATTTTTCCTAAAAAAAACCCCATTTTTCCATTAAAAAACCCCATTTTTCCTAAAAAAACCCCCCATTTTCCCACCCAAAATCCCGTTTTTCCATCAAAAATTCCCATTTTTCCATCAAAATCTCTTTTTCCATCCATCCCTCCTCTCTCCATCCACCACCCTCACCCAGCTTGGATTTTTTCCCAGTTTTTCCCTATTTTGTTCCAATTTTTTCCCATTTTTTCCCATTTTCCCTCATTTTTCCCCATTATATCCCCTTTTTTTCCTTGTTTTTCCTCTTTTTTCCCATTTCCCCCCATTTTTTCTCTTTTGTTTCTCTTTTTTTTCCCCATATTTTTCCCATTTTTGTAATTTTTTTCCCATTTTCCCTGAATTTTTTTCATATTCCCCTTTTTTCCCCAGTTTTCCCATTCCCCCCCATTCTCCCTGTTTTTTCCCCATTTTTCCATTCTTACTCAATTTTTTTTGCTATTTTCCTCCCATTTTTCCCCATTTTCCCCCATTTTTCCCCATTTTTCCCCCTTTTCCCCCCATTTTCCCCCATTTTCCCCCTTTTCCCCCCATTTTTCTCCCTTCCCCCCCCCCATTTTTCCCTGGTTTTTCCCCATTTTCCCCCATTTTCCCCCATTTTTCTCCCTTTCCCCCCATTTTTCCCTGTTTTTTCCCAATTGTTGGGTTCCATTGAGCTCCATTGGGTTCTGTTGGGTTCCATTGAGCTCCATTGGGTTCTGTTGATCTCTGTTGAGCTCTGTTGGGTTCCATTGGGTTCCATTGAGCTCTGTTTGGTTTCCTGAACCCCTCTGAGCTTCACTGGCGTTCCGGTTGAGCTCTGTTGGGTTCCATTGATTTCCATTGAGCTCCGTTGGGTTCCATTGATTTCTGTTGAGCTTCGTTGGGTTCCGTTGAGCTCCGTTGGGTTCTGTTGATCTCCATTGAGCTCCATGGGGTTCTGTTGTGCACCATTGGGTCCCCTGAAGCCATCTGAGTTCTCTTGCGTTCATTGAGCTCTGTTGGGTTCTATTGATTTCTGTTGAGCTCTGTTGGGTTCTGTTGGGTTCTGTTGGATTCCATCGATCTCCATTGGGTTCTGTTGGGCTCCATTGAGTTCTATTGAACTGCATTGTGCTCATTTGAGTTCTGTTGATTTCCCTTGGGTTCTGTTGGGTTCCATTGAGCTCTGTTGGGTCCCCTGAAGCCCTCTGAGCTCTCTTGGGTTCTGTTGGGTTCCGTTGAACTCCATTGGGTTCTGTTGAGCTCCATTGGGTTCTGTTGATCTCTGTTGAGCTTTGTTGGGTTCCGTTGGGTTGCATTGAGCTCCATTGGGTTCTGTTGATCTCTGTTGAGTTCTGTTGGGCTCTGTTGGGTTCCATTGGGTTCTGTTGAGTTCCATTGAGTTCTGTTGGGTTCCATTGAGCTCCGTTGGGTTCTGTTGATCTCTGTTGAGCTCTGCTGGGTTCCATTGGGTTCCATTGAGCTCCATTGGGTTCTCTTGGGTTCCATTGAGCTCCATTGGGTTCTGTTGATCTCTGTTGAGCTCTGTTGGGTTCCATTGGGTTCCATTGAGCTCCATTGGGTTCTGTTGGGTTCCATTGAGCTCCATTGGGTTCTGTTGGGTTCCATTGAGCTCCGTTGGGTTCTGTTGGGTTCCATTGAGCTCCGTTGGGTTCCACTCGGTTCCCAATGGAACCCATTGAGTTCCATCGGGTCCCCCAAACCCCTCTGATCTCCACCCCCCCCCCATGCCTCCCATCTGACCCCGCCCCCTTTCCCGTTACCTCAGCTCCACGGGCAGGAGACCTCGGGGAACCCTCTGAGCGCCGAGCCCAGCCAACCGGCGGCCAGCGTGGACCTGGACTTCCTGGAGGATGACATCCTGGGCTCGCCGGCCGGCGCCGGCGCCGAGCAGCCGTGCGACATCCTCCAGCAGAGCCTGCAGGAGGCCAACATCACCGAGCAGACCCTGGAGGCCGAGGCCGAGCTGGACCTGGGCTCCTTCCAGCTGCCGGCGCTGCAGCCGGTGGTGCAGGCGGCCGACGGCACGCCGCAGATCTTCTCGGGCGGCGCCGACCTGCTGGGGCTGCAACCTCCGGCCGTGCTGGCGCCGCAGGCTTTGGTGCAGCCGCCCGACGTGGTCAACAAGGCCATCAGCGTGCAGCCCTTCCTGCAGCAGGTGGGGCTGGGCAACGTCACCATCCAACCGCTGCCCAACCTGCCCGGCTTGCCCAACGGCAGCCCCGGCGGCGCGCTGGGGCTGGGCCCCATCCAGGTGGTCGGCCAGCAGGTGATGGCCATCAACCAACCCGCCGCGCCGCAGCTGCTGGCCAAACCGGCGCCGGTGGCGGCCGTGGGCGGTTACATCGCCCAGCCCGAGGCGGCCGCGGCGCAGGGAGCCGGCTTGGTGATCCAGAAGAGCCTCCCCGCCGTGGCCACCACCACGCTGAACGGCAGCTCGGTGTTCGGCGGCGTCTCGGCGGCGTCGGCGCAGCCGCTCACCGTCACCTCGGGGCTGGGCGGCTCCTTGGTGCCGGCGCCCAACGTCATCATCCACCGCACGCCCACGCCCATCCAGCCCAAACCCGCCGGCGTGCTGCAGCAGAAGCTCTACCAGATCACGCCCAAGCCCTTCGCCGCCGGCGGCGCCCTGGCGCTGCCCGGCGAGGCGCCGGCCAAGGCGCAGCAGAACCTCACCTTCATGGCCGGCAAAGCCGCGCCCAACGTGGTGCTGCAAGGCTTCCCCCCCAACGTCTTCAAGCCGCCGCCGCCGCAGCCGCCGGCGCTGGGCAAATCCATGAGCGTGCACGTGCTCAACCAGGGCGGCTCCATCGTCATCCCGGCGCAGCCCTTCCAAGGACAGAACCAGTTCCTGCTGCCGGGCCAGCTGGCCGGCGCCTCGGCCGTGCCGCTGCCGCAGCCGCTCTCGGCGCTGCCGGCCAACGTCGGCGGCCAGCTCTTACCGGGCGCCGGCCAGGCGCACATCATCGCCGGCCAGAGCGCCGGCGCGCAGCTCCTGGCCAACCCCGCCTTGCCGGCGCAGCTCCTCAACCAAAGCCTGGCGGGGCAGCTCAACCTGGGCCCGGTGTTGGCGTCGCCGGGCGCGGCGGGCACGGCGCACATCCTGTCGGCGGCGCCCATCCAGCTGCAGCCGGGCCAGCCGGCGCCGGCGCTCTTCCAGATGCCGGTGTCGCTTGCCGGGACCTTGCCCAGCCCCGGCTCGGCGGCGGCGCCGGCGCCCACGGTGATCCAGGGCGTCACCTTGGCCAGCCCGGTGGCCATGCTCAACGCCGGCGAGGGTTTGGGCGCCGCCGCCGCCCCCCAAAATTCCCCAAATTCCCCCCAAAGTGGCCGAGCACCTGATCGCCCAGCACAGCCCCGGGGCCTTTTGGGGTGGATTTTTGGGGTGGATTTTTGGGGAATTTTGGGGTGGATTTTTGGGGATTTTGGGGGGGATTTTTGGGGGGTTTTGGGGATTTTTTGGGGTGGTGGGGTGTGTGGGATTTGGGGGTTCTTTGGATTTTTGGGGTTGCCAGGATTTGGGGGATTTCCAGGATTCTGGGATTCCCAGGATTCTGGGATTTCCGGTGTTCTGGGATTGCCAGGATTTGGGGATTCTCAGGGTTCTGGGATTTTTTGGATTTGGGGATTCTCAGCATTTTGGGATTTTTTGGATTTGGGGATTTTCAGCATTTTGGGATTCCCAGGATTTGGGGATTCCCAGGGTTTGGGCATTTCCAGGGGACAGAAAAATTGGGATCCAGCCGTGGAAAACAGGGATCCAGGTTGGAAAACCGGGATCCAGGGGCAGAAAATTGGGATGCAGGGGTGGAAATTTGGGACCCAGGGGTGGAAATTTGGGATTTGGGACGGATCCATTCCCCCCGCCCCCCCCCAATTCCCCCCGGATTTCCTGGAATTCCTCCAATCCCGGCCTTTTCCAGCCCTTTTTGCCCAAAATCCCAAAATTCCCGCCCCGTTTTCCGGCTGCTCCGCTGGCTTGGCGCTCACTAACCCCCAACGCTGCTGCTGCCTGTCCTGTGCGCCCCAAAATCCCCGGAATTCACCCCAAAATCCCAAAATTCACCCCAAAAACCCCAAAATTCACCCCAAAAATCCCAGAATTCACCCCAAAACCCCTGGAATTCACCCCCAAATCCTTAAAATTGATCTCAAATCTTGGAATTCACCCCAAAACCCCCAGAATTCATCTCCAAATCCCTGGAATTCACCCCAAAATCCTAAAATTCACCCCAAAAACCCCAGGAATTCACCCCAAAGTCTCTAAAATTCACCCCAAAAATCCTTGGAATTCATCCCAAATCTGAGAATTCGCCCCAAAACTCTCAGAATTTGCCTCAAACCCCTCAAAATTGGCCCCGAATCTGAGAATTGATCCCAGAATTTGTGGAATTCACCCCAAAATTCCAGAATTGGCCCCAAAACCCTCAAAGTTCACCCCAAAATCCCGGGAATTTGCCCGAAAACCCCCAAAATTCACCACAAATCTGAGAATTGGCCCCAAACCCCCTGGAATTCGCCTCAAAACCCCCAGAATTTGCCCCAAATCCCCCAGAACTGGCTTGAAATCTGAGAATTCACCCCAAAATCCCCAAAATTCACCCTAAATCTGAGAATTCACCTCAAATTTTGCCCCAAATCCTCTGGAATTGGCCCCAAAACCCTCAGAATTCACCCCGAAACCCCCGGAATTTGCCCCAAAAACGCCTCAAAAATGGGATTTGGGGTGGAATTGGGGTCCTGGGGCGTTCCAGGGTTGGTTTTTTCCAGGGATTTTCTGCTCCTGGAGCCGCTCTGGGAATGCCCAGCTGGATCCTGCCTCAGTTTCCCCGTTTCCTGCCTTCCCAAATTGCCCTAAAAATCAAATTTGGGATCTGGGAGGAGCTCAGGACCCTCCCCAAATTTTTTTCCTGGAATATTCCACTCCTGGATCCGCCCCCGAAATGAATTCCCGCTTTCCCCAGCTCCGCCCTCCCTAAATCCCACCCCCCAAAAAAAAGCAAAATTTGGGGTTTTGGGGGGTTTCCCGAGGCGGGAATTCCCGGATTTTTCCCGCTTCTGCCGCCTTCCTCCCGCACTAACCGAGCTCTTCCTCTGCTTCTGTTGCAGCCGAAACTCCCGGGAGCGTCCCCGGGGGATCCGCCGACCCCCATCCCCTCCCAAATGTCCCAAATGTCCCAAATCTCATCCCAAATTCCATCCCAGATCCCCTCCCGCCCCCCCTCGCAGCCGCAGCCGCTCTCCCGCCCCCCGTCCCAACCCCGGCCGCCCTCGGAGCCTTTCCCGGGCTCCTTCCCGGAGCCCCCCGAGCATTCCCAACATTCCCAGCATTCCCAGCATTCCCAGCCCTCCCAGCCCAACCAGTCCAACCAGTTCCCGCTGCCGCTGGGGGGGCTCAAGGCCGCGACCCCCGCGCTGCTGCCCCCGGAGCATCCCCGGAGCTTCGCGCTGATCCCGGGGCCCTTCCCGGCCCCGCCCAAGGGCGGCGCCGAGCGCTTCCAGCAGGTAAAAACCGGGAATGCCCCAAAAAAATCCCGGGAATTCCCAAAAATCCCAAATGTCCTGAGCGCTTCCAGCAGGTAAAAACCGGGAATGCCCCAAAAAAATCCCGGGAATTCCCAAAAATCCCAAATGTCCTGAGCGCTTCCAGCAGGTAAAAACCGGGAATGCCCCAAAAAAATCCCGGGAATTCCCAAAAATCCCAAATGTCCTGAGCGCTTCCAGCAGGTAAAAACCGGGAATGCCCCCAAAAAAAATCCCGGGAATTCCCAAAAATCCCGGTGAAATTCCTGGGAATTCCCAAAAATCCCGGAGGAATTCCCGGGAATTCCTCCGGGATTTTTGGGAATTCCTGGGATTTTTTTGGGGCATTCCCGGCATTTACCTGCTGGAAGCGCTCTGGTCATTTGGGATTTTTGGGAATTCCTGGGATTTTTTTGGGGCATTCCCGGCATTTACCTGCTGGAAGCGCTCTGGTCATTTGGGATTTTTGGGAATTCCTGGGATTTTTTTGGGGCATTCCCGGCATTTACCTGCTGGAAGCGCTCTGGTCATTTGGGATTTTTGGGAATTCCCGGAATGGACCCAAAAATCCCAAATGTGCTGAGCGCTTCCAGCAGGTAAAAACCGGGAATGCCCCAAAAAAGATCCTGGGAATTCCCAAAAATCCCAAATGTCCTGAGCGCTTCCAGCAGGTAAAAACCGGGAATGCCCCAAAAAAATCCCGGGAATTCCCAAAAATCCCAAATGTCCTGAGCGCTTCCAGCAGGTAAACACCGGGAATTCCCCAAAAAAATCCCGGGAATTCCCAAAAATCCCAAATGTCCTGAGCGCTTCCAGCAGGTAAAAACCGGGAATGCCCCAAAAAAATCCCGGGAATTCCCAAAAATCCCAGTGAAATTCCTGGGAATGCCCAAAAATCCCGGAGGAATTCCCGGGAATTCCCAAAAATCCCAAATGTCCTGAGCGCTTCCAGCAGGTAAATGCCGGGAATTCCCCCCAAAAAATCCCGGGAATTCCCAAAAATCCCAGTGAATTCCTGGGAATTCCCAAAAATCCCAAATGTCCTGAGCGCTTCCAGGAGGTAAAAACCGGGAATGCCCAAAAGTCCCGGAGGAATTCCCGGGAATTCCCAAAAATCCTGGAGAAATTCCAGGGAATTCCCAAAAATCCCAAATGTCCTGAGCGCTTCCAGCAGGTAAATCCCGAGAATTCCCAAAAATTCCAAAAATCCCAGTGGAAATCTTGAGAAATCCCAAAAATCCCCAAACATCAGATCTGGATCCCCCTGGATTTGGGATCTTTGGGTGATTTCAGGGATTGGATTTGGGATTTCAGGGATTGGATCCCCCTGGATTTGGGATCTTTGGGGGTTTTTGGGTCCGTTCTGAGGAGATTTGGGATTTTTGGGACCGTTCCTGACGGGATTTGGGATCTTTGGGTCCGTTCCTTACGGGATTCGGGATTTTTGGGTCCGTTCCTGACGGGATTTGGGATCTTTGGGTCCGTTCCTTACGGGATTCGGGATTTTTGGGTCCGTTCCTGACGGGATTTGGGATCTTTGGGTCCGTTCCTTACGGGATTCGGGATTTTTGGGTCCGTTCCTGACGGGATTTGGGATCTTTGGGTCCGTTCCTTACGGGATTCGGGATTTTTGGGTCCGTTCCTGACGGGATTTGGGATCTTTGGGTCCGTTCCTTACGGGATTCGGGATTTTTGGGTCCGTTCCTGACGGGATTTGGGATCTTTGGGTCCGTTCCTTACGGGATTCGGGATTTTTGGGTCCGTTCCTGACGGGATTTGGGATCTTTGGGTCCGTTCCTTACGGGATTCGGGATTTTTGGGTCCGTTCCTGACGGGATTTGGGATCTTTGGGTCCGTTCCTTACGGGATTCGGGATTTTTGGGTCCGTTCCTGACGGGATTTGGGATCTTTGGGTCCGTTCCTTACGGGATTCGGGATTTTTGGGTCCGTTCCTGACGGGATTTGGGATCTTTGGGTCCGTTCCTTACGGGATTCGGGATTTTTGGGTCCGTTCCTGACGGGATTTGGGATCTTTGGGTCCGTTCCTTACGGGATTCGGGATTTTTGGGTCCGTTCCTGACGGGATTTGGGATCTTTGGGTCCGTTCCTTACGGGATTCGGGATTTTTGGGTCCGTTCCTGACGGGATTTGGGATCTTTGGGTCCGTTCCTTACGGGATTCGGGATTTTTGGGTCCGTTCCTGACGGGATTTGGGATCTTTGGGTCCGTTCCTTACGGGATTCGGGATTTTTGGGTCCGTTCCTGACGGGATTTGGGATCTTTGGGTCCGTTCCTTACGGGATTCGGGATTTTTGGGTCCGTTCCTGACGGGATTTGGGATCTTTGGGTCCGTTCCTTACGGGATTCGGGATTTTTGGGTCCGTTCCTGACGGGATTTGGGATCTTTGGGTCCGTTCCTTACGGGATTCGGGATTTTTGGGTCCGTTCCTGACGGGATTTGGGATCTTTGGGTCCGTTCCTTACGGGATTCGGGATTTTTGGGTCCGTTCCTGACGGGATTTGGGATCTTTGGGTCCGTTCCTTACGGGATTCGGGATTTTTGGGTCCGTTCCTGACGGGATTTGGGATCTTTGGGTCCGTTCCTTACGGGATTCGGGATTTTTGGGTCCGTTCCTGACGGGATTTGGGATCTTTGGGTCCGTTCCTTACGGGATTCGGGATTTTTGGGTCCGTTCCTGACGGGATTTGGGATCTTTGGGTCCGTTCCTTACGGGATTCGGGATTTTTGGGTCCGTTCCTGACGGGATTTGGGATCTTTGGGTCCGTTCCTTACGGGATTCGGGATTTTTGGGTCCGTTCCTGACGGGATTTGGGATCTTTGGGTCCGTTCCTTACGGGATTCGGGATTTTTGGGTCCGTTCCTGACGGGATTTGGGATCTTTGGGTCCGTTCCTTACGGGATTCGGGATTTTTGGGTCCGTTCCTGACGGGATTTGGGATCTTTGGGTCCGTTCCTTACGGGATTCGGGATTTTTGGGTCCGTTCCTGACGGGATTTGGGATCTTTGGGTCCGTTCCTTACGGGATTCGGGATTTTTGGGTCCGTTCCTTACGCGATTTGGGGTTTTGGGTCAGTTCCTTATAAGATTTGGTGGTTTTTGGTCCGTTCCTGACGGAATTTGGTGTTTTTGGGTCCATTCCTGATGGGATTTGGTGTTTTGGGGCCGTTCTGAGGGGATTTGGGATTTTTGGGTCCATTCCTTACGGGATTTGGGATTTTTGGGTCCAGTTCCTGATGCGATTTGGTGTTTTGGTGCCATTCCTTACAGGATTTAGGGTTTTTGGGTCCATTCCTTACAGGATTGGGTGTTTTGGGTCCGTTCCTCACGGGATTTGGGGTTTTTGGGTCCATTCCTTACGGGATTTGGGATTTTTGGGTCCGTTCCTGACAGGATTTGGGATTTTTGGGTCCGTTCCTGACAGGATTTGGGGTTTTTGGGTCCGTTCCTCACGGGATTTGGGGTTTTTGGGTCCATTCCTTACGGGATTTGGGATTTTTGGGTCCGTTCCTCACGGGATTTGGGATTTTTGGGTCCCTTCCTCACAGGATTTGGTGTTTTTGGGTCCGTTCCTTACGGAATTTGGGATTTTTGGGTCCATTCCTGACAGGATTTGGTGTTTTGGGTCCGTTCCTGACGGGATTTGCTTTTCCAGGTGCCCCAGGGGCTGCTCCTGCAGCCGAAGCCGCCCCCGTCCAGCCCGGCCCCGTTCCCGGCTCCGGCCGCTCCCGTCCTGGTTCCGGCGGCTCCGGGAACGCCCGGCCCGGCCCTGGGGGGCTCCGGCGCCTCAGGTGGGTCCGGAACCCCGAAATCCCAGGGACCCCGAAATCCCAGTGTCCCGAAATCCCAGGGACCCCGAAATCCCAGTGTCCCAAAATCCCAGAAACCCTGAAATCCCAGGGACCCCGAAATCCCAGTGTCCCAAAATCCCAGGGACCCCCACATCCCAGTGTCCCAGAATCCCAGAGACCCTGAAATCCCAGAATCCCAAAATCCCAGGGACCCCCACGTCCCAGTGTCCCAGAATCCCAGAGACCCTGAAATCCCAGAATCCCAAAATCCCAGAATCCCAAACTCCCAGAATCCCAAAATCCCAGGGATCCCCACGTCCCAGAGTCCCAAAATCCCAGAGCCCCCACATCCCAGTGTCCCAGAATCCCAGAGACCCTGAAATCCCAGAATCCCAAAATCCCAGGGACCCCCACCTCCCAGTGTCCCAAAATCCCAGAGCCCCCACATCCCAGTGTCCCAGAATCCCCCATCCCAGTGTCCCCAGATCCCAGTATCCCACCCCCACCTTTGGGAACTCCCAGTGTTCCCAGTTTCCTGGTGCCGTTCCCAGTGCCATTCCCACATTCCCAGTCCCATTCCCAGTCCCATTCCCGGGTCCCATTCCCATTTCCCAGTTGCATTCTGGGTGGAATTCCCGATTTCCCGATGCCATTCCTGGTTTCCTGTGCCCCATTCCCAGTCCCATTCCCGTTTCCATTCCCGGTCCCATTCCCGGTCCCATTCCCTCATTCCTGGTCCCATTCCCAGTGCTATTCCCACATTCCCGGTCCCATTCCCGGTCCCATTCCCTCATTCCCGGTGCCATTCCCGCTGCCATTCCCGGTCCCATTCCCGGTGCCATTCCCACATTCCCAGTATCATTCCCTCATTCCCAGTGCCATTCCCGGTCCCATTCCCGGTGCCATTCCCGGTGCCATTCCTGTGCCATTCCCAGTCCCATTCCCGGTGCCATTCTCTCATTCCCGGTCCCATTCCCACATTCCCGGTGCCATTCCCGGTGCCATTCCCACATTCCCGGTCCCATTCCCACATTCCCGGTGCCATTCCCACATTCCCGGTGCCATTCCCGATGCCATTCCCGGTGCCATTCCCGGTGCCATTCCCTCATTCCCGGTCCCATTCCCATCCCCAGTCCCATTCCCGGTGCCGTTCCCAGTGCCATTCCCAGTTCCCGGTCCCATTCCCATTCCCGGTCCCATTCCCGGTCCCATTCCCGGTCCCATTCCCACATTCCCGGTCCCATTCCCATGCCATTCCTGTGCCATTCCTGTGCCATTCCCTCATTCCCGGTCCCATCCCCAGTCCCATTCCCGGTCCCATTCCCGGTCCCATTCCCGGTCCCATTCCCGGTCCCATTCCCGGTCCCATTCCCGGTCCCATTCCCGGTCCCATTCCCACATTCCCGGTCCCATTCCCATGCCATTCCTGTGCCATTCCTGTGCCATTCCCTCATTCCCGGTCCCATCCCCAGTCCCATTCCCGGTCCCATTCCCGGTCCCATTCCCGGTCCCATTCCCGGTCCCATTCCCGGTCCCATTCCCGGTCCCATTCCCGGTCCCATTCCCACATTCCCGGTCCCATTCCCATGCCATTCCTGTGCCATTCCTGTGCCATTCCCTCATTCCCGGTCCCATCCCCAGTCCCATTCCCGGTCCCATTCCCGGTCCCATTCCCGGTCCCATTCCCGGTCCCATTCCCGGTCCCATTCCCGGTCCCATTCCCGGTCCCATTCCCACATTCCCGGTCCCATTCCCATGCCATTCCTGTGCCATTCCTGTGCCATTCCCTCATTCCCGGTCCCATCCCCAGTCCCATTCCCGGTCCCATTCCCGGTCCCATTCCCGGTCCCATTCCCGGTCCCATTCCCGGTCCCATTCCCGGTCCCATTCCCGGTCCCATTCCCACATTCCCGGTCCCATTCCCATGCCATTCCTGTGCCATTCCTGTGCCATTCCCTCATTCCCGGTCCCATCCCCAGTCCCATTCCCGGTCCCATTCCCGGTCCCATTCCCGGTCCCATTCCCGGTCCCATTCCCGGTCCCATTCCCGGTCCCATTCCCGGTCCCATTCCCACATTCCCGGTCCCATTCCCATGCCATTCCTGTGCCATTCCTGTGCCATTCCCTCATTCCCGGTCCCATCCCCAGTCCCATTCCCGGTCCCATTCCCGGTCCCATTCCCGGTCCCATTCCCGGTCCCATTCCCGGTCCCATTCCCGGTCCCATTCCCGGTCCCATTCCCACATTCCCGGTCCCATTCCCATGCCATTCCTGTGCCATTCCTGTGCCATTCCCTCATTCCCGGTCCCATCCCCAGTCCCATTCCCGGTCCCATTCCCGGTCCCATTCCCGGTCCCATTCCCGGTCCCATTCCCGGTCCCATTCCCGGTCCCATTCCCGGTCCCATTCCCACATTCCCGGTCCCATTCCCATGCCATTCCTGTGCCATTCCTGTGCCATTCCCTCATTCCCGGTCCCATCCCCAGTCCCATTCCCGGTCCCATTCCCGGTCCCATTCCCGGTCCCATTCCCGGTCCCATTCCCGGTCCCATTCCCGGTCCCATTCCCGGTCCCATTCCCACATTCCCGGTCCCATTCCCATGCCATTCCTGTGCCATTCCTGTGCCATTCCCTCATTCCCGGTCCCATCCCCAGTCCCATTCCCGGTCCCATTCCCGGTCCCATTCCCACATTCCCGGTCCCATTCCCATGCCATTCCTGTGCCATTCCTGTGCCATTCCCTCATTCCCGGTCCCATCCCCAGTCCCATTCCCGGTCCCATTCCCGGTCCCATTCCCGGTCCCATGCCCAGTCTCATTCCCACATTCCCAGTCCCATTCCCACATTCCCAGTCCCATTCCCAGTCCCATTCCCAGTCCCATTCCCCCATTCCCGGTGCCATTCCCAGATTCCCGGTGCCATTCCCAGTTCCCCGGTCCCATTCCCTAATTCCCAGTCCCATTCATTTATTCACCATTTATTCACCATTTATTCACCATTTATTCACCATTTATTCACCATTTATTCACCATTTATTCACCATTTATTCACCATTTATTCCCTAATTTATTTAAAATTTATTCATCATTTATTCAGCGTTTATTCAGCATTTATTCAACGTTTATTCACAATTTATTCAACGTTTATTCCCCAATTTATTCACAATTTATTCACAATTTATTCACTGCTTATTCCTCATTTATTTCCCAATTTATTAACAATTTATTCGCAATTTATTAATAATTTATTCACAATTTATTCATCATTTATTCACTGCTTATTCCTCATTTATTTCCCAATTTATTCACAATTTATTCGCAATTTATTAATAATTTATTCACAATTTATTCATCATTTATTCACTGTGTATTCCCCATTTATTCCCCAATTTATTCACTGTTTATTCACCATTTATTCATCATTTATTCCCAATTTATTCACAATTTATTCACAATTTATTAATCATTTATTCACAACTTATTTCCCATTTATTCCCCAATTTATTCAGAATTTATTCATCATTTATTCACTATTTGTTCACCATTTATTCACAATTTATTCACCAATTATTCCCCAATTTATTCACAATTTATTAGTCATTTATTCGCTATTTATTCACCATTTATTCTCCAGCTTATTACGCAATTTGTTCACTATTTATTCACAATTTGTTTATGATTTATTCACAGTTTAATTTCCCATTTATTCCCCAATTTATTCACTGTTTATTCACCATTTATTCATCATTTATTCACAATTTATTCACAATTTATTAGTCATTTATTCACAACTTATTTCCCATTTATTCCCCAATTTATTCACAACTTATTTCCCATTTATTCCCCAATTTATTCAGAACTTACTCACAATTTATTCATAATTTATTCACCATTTATTCACCATTGATTCCCCAATTTATTCACAATTTATTCCCCCATTTATTCCCCATTTATTCTCCATTTATTCCCCAATTTATTCCCAATTTATTCCCCATTTATTTCCCAATTTATTCCCCATTTATTCCCCATTTGTTTCCCACTTACTCAAAATTTTTTCCCCATTTATTCCCAATTTATTCCCCATTTATTCCTTGGATTTTCTCTTTTTTTCCCAATTTCTGCCCTTTTTTTCCCAAGCTTTTCCATTTAATTCCAGGTTTTTCCCACTTTAATTCCATTTTTCCCCTTTAATTTCATTTTTCCCCCTTAATTCCAGTTTTCCCCTGGGTTTCCCCACAGGAATTTTCTGGGGTTTTCCCAATTTTTTCCCATTTCCCCAATTCTTTCCTGTTTTTCCCATTTTTTCCCTTTTTTTTCCCAATTCTTTCCCTTTTTCCTCTAATTTTTTCCCAATTTTTTCCTGATTTCTTCCCAATTCTTTCCCAATTTTTTCCCATTTTCCCAATTTTTTCCCATTTTTCTCAATTCTTTCCCCTTTTTCTCCAATTTTTCCCATTTTTTTCCCATTTTCCCAATTTTTTCCCCATTTTTCTCAATTCTTTCCCCTTTTTCTCCAATTTTTCCCATTTTTTTCCCATTTTCCCAATTTTTTCCCCATTTTTCTCAATTCTTTCCCCTTTTTCTCCAATTTTTCCCATTTTTTTCCCATTTTCCCAATTTTTTCCCCATTTTTCTCAATTCTTTCCCCTTTTTCTCCAATTTTTCCCATTTTTTTCCCATTTTGCCCAATTTTTCTCCAATTTTTTCCCAATTTCTCCCAATTTTTTCCCAATTTTTCCCGATTTTTCCCGTTTTTCCGCAGGCGAAGCCGGCCGGGCTCAAGGGCCCCCCCCAACCCTCGGGGGGTGGGAAGGGTCCCCAGGCCCCGCCCACGGTGAGTCCCAAAATCCCCAAAATTCACCCCAAAATCTGGGAATTGACCCAAAATCTGGGAATTGACCCAAAATCCTGGAAATTCCCCCCAAAATTCCCAGAGTTCCCCCCAAGAATCCTGAGAAATCTCAAAATCCCCGGAATTTGCCCCAAAATCCTGGAGTTCACTCAAAATCTGGGACTTGATCCCAAAATCCTGGGAATTCGCCCCAAAATCCTGGGAATTGTCCCCAGAATCCTGAAATTATTGGGAATTTGAAATTCTTGGGAATTGTCCCAAAATCCTGAGATTTTGCCCCAAATTCTTGGGAATTGACCCCAAAATCCCAGGAATTCTCTCCAAAATCCACAGAATTGCCCAAAATCCCAGGAATTCTCCCCAAATTCTGTGAATTCACCCAAACTCCTGAGAAACAACCCCAAAAAATCACGGAATTGCCCCCAAAATGCTGGGAATTGACCCCAAAACCCTAGGAATTCTCCCCAAATCTGGGAATTGCCCAAAATCCTGGGAATTCTCCCCAAACGTGGGAATTGCCCAAAACCCCGGGAATTCTCCCTAAATTTTTGGGAACTGACCCCAAAAGCCTGGGAATTCTCCCCAAATTCTTGGGAATTCACCCCAAAATCCCGGGAATTCTCCCCGAACGTGGGAATTGCCCAAAACCCCAGGAATTCTCCCCAAATTCTTGGGAATTGCCCAAAATCCTGGGAATTCTCCCCAAATTCCTGGGAATTGCCCAAAATCCTGGGAATTCTCCCCAAATTCCTGGGAATTGCCCAAAATCCCGGGAATTCTCCCCAAAGCCGCGCTCTCTCCGCAGCTGGAGGCGAAGCTGAAGAAGGCGCCGGTGCTGCAGCCCAGTAAGGAGGCCTGGTGAGAACTGGGAATACTGGGAATGGTGGGAATGGTAACTGGGAATACTGGGAATAACGACTGGGAATGACAACTGGGAATGGTGGGAATGGCAACTGGGAATACTGGGAATGATAACTGGGAATGGTGGGAATAACGGGAATGGCAACTGGGAATGGCTGGGAATGATGGGAATGGCAGCTGGAAATGACAACTGGGAATACTGGGAATGGTAACTGGGAGTGGTGGGAATGGTGGGAATGATAACTGGGAATGGCAACTGGGAATGACAACTGGGAATGGCTGGGAATGAGTGGGGGGACTGGGAATGGCTGGGAACGCCGGGAATTCCCGCCGGGGTGGGGAGTTCTGTCCCTTACCCCCCCAAATCCGAGGATTTCTGTCCCTAACCCCCCCAAAAATGAGGATTTCTGTCCAAAATGCCCCCAAATCCGTGGATTTCCGTCCCTAACCCCCCACCCCGTGGATTTCTGTCCCTAACCCCCCCCAAATCCAAGGATTTCTGTCCCTAACCCCCCCCCAAATCCGAGGATTTCTGTCCCTAACCCCCCAAATCCGAGGATTTCTGTCCCTAACCCCCCACCCGTGGATTTCCGTCGGCCGTTGCCCAAACCCGCGGTTTTTTGCCCCGTTTTCAGCCTCCTGGAGCAGCTGCACAAGCACCAGGGCGCCGTGCTGCACCCCGAGCTGCGCAGCCCCTTCCGCTCGCTGGGGGACGCGCTGCGCCGCCTGCTGCCCTACCACGTCTACCAGGGGGTGCTGCCCGGCGAGCCCGAGTGCCAGCGCGGTGAGGGCATGTCGCGATAGTCGCGATAGTCGCGATAGCCGGGAATGTTGCGATAGTCGGGATATCAATTAATTTTCCTTTATCCGCATTAATGCCCCATCAATTCCCCGTTAATCCCCCTTCAATTTCCCATCAATCTCTTATCAATCCGCCATTAATTCCCTATCAATTCCCCATTAATTTCCCATCAATCCCCCACCAATCCCCCATTCCCCATTAATCCCCTATTAATTCCCTATTAATCCCCCCCAATCCCCCATTAACAATCCCCATTAATCCCCCCATTAAGAATCCCCATTAACAACCCCCATTAACCCCCGTTAACCCCCCCCACCCCCGAGGGACCCCCGGGGGACCCCCGGGACCCCCGAGTCCCGGGGACCCCCCTGAGCCCCCCGTGCCCCCGCAGCGCGCCAGCCCCTCGGCCGAGATGGTGATGATCGACCGCATCTTCATCCAGGAGGAGAAAACGGCGCTGGCGCTGGACCGGCAGCTGGCCCGGGACCGGCCCGGTGGGAACCCGGGATCGGGGCTGGGAATGGGGCTGGGAATGGGGCCGGGATCCCGGGAACGGGGCGGGAATGGGGCTGGGAAACCCGGGAGCGGGGCTGGGAACGGGTCTGGGAAGCCCGGGAATGGGGCGGGATCCATGGGAATAGGGGCGAGGCGCTGGACCGGCAGCTGGCCCGGGACCGGCCCGGTGGGAACCCGGGAACGGGGCGGGAACGGGGGTGGGAATAGGGCTGGGAAACCCGGGAATGGGGCTGGGAACGGGGCGGGAATCCCGGGAATGGGGCGGGAATCCCGGGAACGGGGTTGGGATCCCGGGAACGGGGCTGGCGCTCGACCGGCAGCTGGCCCGGGACCGGCCCGGTGGGAACCCGGGATCGGGGCTGGGAATGGGGCTGGGAAACCTGGGAATGGGGCTGGGATCCCGGGAATGGGGCGGGAACCCCGGGAACGGGGCCGCCCCTCCCCCCGCGCCCCCCAAACTGCTGATCAAGCACGGGGGGGGCTCCCCCAGCGTCACCTGGCTGGGGGAAGCCCGGGATTCCCCCCGGGACCCCTCGCAAAGGGGGGACCCCCAGAGAGGGGAGGAGGAGGCGCTGCCCTCGCGGAGCCGCCCCCCGATGATGAAGACGTACGAGGCGCGGAGCCGCATCGGCCTCAAGCTGAAGATCAAGCAGGAGGCCGGGCTGAGCAAGGTGATCCACAACACGGCGCTGGATCCGCCCGGGATCCCGGGCACCGGGACCCACCCGGGCCCGGCGCAGCTCAACGGATCCCTGGAGAAGAAAACGCCGCTCCCGGCTCACCCCGGCGCCGCCGCCGCCGCCGCCGCCGCTCCCTGCTTGGGGCCGCTGAGGAAAACCTACCGGGAGATCAACCGGGAGATCAGCCGGGAGACGAACCGGGAGACGAACCGGGAGACGCACCGGGAGCTCCCCGAGCACCACCGGGAGCCGCCGCGCTCGGAGCGCCGCCCGGTGATCACGGCGCTGCGCCGGGATCCGGGATCCGCCGGCCGCGGCCGGCCCGGGAAAGGCCCCCCGGAGGAGCCGTCGGACGGGGAGGATGAGGAGGAGGAGGACGAGGAGGACGAGGAGGAGGAGGAGGAGGAGGAGGAGGAGGAAGGCTGCGGGACGTGGGGCGGGAAGCGGCGGCGGGCGGAGGCCGAGGTGGACAAGGCGTCGTTCAGCAGCGACAGCCCCCAGGACGATTCGCTGAGCGAGCACCTGCAGAGCGCCATCGACAGCATCCTCAACCTGCAGCAGCCCCGGGGGGCGCCGGCAGCCGCCCCGGCACCGCCGGCACCGGCACCGGCACCGGCACCGGCACCGGGAGCCGCCGCCCCGCCCTTCCCGGGACCCCCCCGGCGCGGCCCCGAGCCCCTCGTGCCCCCCCCCAGCCACAACGGCGGCCTCGGCGCCGCGCGGACGTGCACCAGATGACGGCGGGGGGACGGCGGACACCGGGATCGGGACACCGGGAACGGGATCTGACCGGGATCGGGATACCGGGATCGGGACACCGGGAACGGGATCTGACCGGGAACGGGACACCAGGAACGGGACACCGGGAACGGGATCTGACCGGGATCAGGATACCGGGAACGGGATACCGGGAACGGGATCTGACCAGGAACGGGATACCGGGAACAGGATCTGACCGGGATCAGGATACCAGGAACGGGACACCGGGATCGGGACACCGGGAACGGGATCTGACCGGGAACGGGATACCTGGAACGGGATACCGGGAACGGGACACCGGGAACGGGATCTGACCGGGATCAGGATACCGGGATCGGGAGCTGACCGGGAACGGGATACCGGGAGCTGACCAGGAATGGGATACCGGGATCTGACCGGGAACGGGACACCGGGAACGGAATGGAATAGGACACCGGGATGGGATCGGGACACCGGGATCGGGACACCGGGAACGGGACACCGGGAACGGGATCTGACCGGGATCGGGATACCGGGAACGGGATCTGACCGGGATCAGGATACCAGGAACGGGACACCGGGATCGGGACACCGGGATCGGGACACCGGGAACGGGAGCTGACCAGGATCAGGATACCGGGAACGGGATCTGACCGGGATCGGGAGCTGACCGGGAACGGGATACCGGGAGCTGACCAGGAATGGGATACCGGGAGCTGACCGGGACACCGGGATCTGACCGGGAACGGGACACCGGGAACGGAATGGAATAGGACACCGGGATCTGACCGGGACGCCGGGATCAGAACGGGACACCAGGAACGGGATCGGACCAGGAACAGGACACCAGGAACAGGATACCGGGATCCGTAATAGAGCGGGATACCGGGATCTGACCGGGAGAGCCAGATCAGACCGGGACACCGGGATCCAAGCGGGATACCGGGAACGGACTGGGACCGGGACACCGGGAAACCGGGAACGGGATTGAGATCCAGCCGGGACACCGGGAACGGAGCGGGATCGGCAATGGACCGGGATTGGGAACGGGATCGGGAGCAGAGCGGGATCCCGGGAACGGAACGGGATCGGGAGCAGACCAGGAACAGGACCGGGAACGGGAATGGGAACGGGAATGGGAACGGGAATGGGGTCGGGGTCAGGATCAGACCGGGAACGGGAACGGGATCGGGATTGGGAACGGGAGTGGGATCGGAAATAGGAACGGACCAGGAACGGGATTTGGGGTCAGGAACGGACCGGGAATGGGATCGGGATCGGGAATGGGATCAGACCGGGATTGGGATTGGGATCGGGAACTGGGGAGAGCAGCGGGAATTTGGGAATGCGGGATCGGCCCCGGGATGGGAAACCCCAAATCCATCAAGATTGGGATGGGAAAAAAACCCCGAATCCATGGGGAATGGGAGGGGGGAAAGACCAGGAACAGGACCGGGAACGGGAATGGGAACGGGAATGGGAACGGGAATGGGGTCGGGGTCAGGATCAGACCGGGAACGGGAACGGGATCGGGATTGGGAACGGGAGTGGGATCGGAAATAGGAACGGACCAGGAACGGGATTTGGGGTCAGGAACGGACCGGGAATGGGATCGGGATCGGGAATGGGATCAGACCGGGATTGGGATTGGGATCGGGAACTGGGGAGAGCAGCGGGAATTTGGGAATGCGGGATCGGCCCCGGGATGGGAAACCCCAAATCCATCAAGATTGGGATGGGAAAAAAACCCCGAATCCATGGGGAATGGGAGGGGGGAAACCCCAAATCCATCGGGATGGGAATTGGGAAAACCCCAAATCCATCGGGATTGGGATGGGGAAAAGCCCAAATCCATCAGGATCGGGATGGGAATGGGAGTGAGAAACCCCAAATCCATCGGGATAGGAATGGGAAACCCCAAATCCAATGGGAATGGGAAAACCCCAAATCTGATTTCCTGGGACCCAGAATTTGGGATCGGGATGGGAGTGAGAAAACCCCAAATCCATTTGGAATGGGAAACCCCAAATCCATCGGGATTGGAAATTGGAAAAACCCCAAATCCATCGGGATAGTAATGGGAATGGAAAACCCCGAATCCATCGGGATTGGGATCAGGACTGGGATTGGGAAAACCCCAAATCCATCGGGTTCGGGATTGGGAAAAAACCCCAAATCCATCGGGATTGGGATGGGGTGGGAATGGGAAAACCCCAAATCCATCAGGATCGGGATGGGATTGGGAATGGGAAAACCCCAAATCCATCGGGATTGGGAATTGGGAAAAAACCCCAAATCCATCGGGATTGGGATGGGGTGGGAATGGGAAAACCCCAAATCCATCAGGATCGGGATGGGATTGGGAATGGGAAAACCCCAAATCCATCGGGATTGGGA